CGCTTCGACGCGCCGCGTCGGGACGACGACTCCGCTGCGGCCCGGGACGGGGGCGTCTCCCCCGGAGCCGCGGAGGAAGCGGCCGAGGGCGCCGCGCGCGGGGCCTGGCCCAGCGTCACCGAGATGCGCAAGCTCTTCGGTGGCCCAGGCTCCAGGCGGCCCAGTGCCGACTCTGAGGCCTCGGGGACGCCCAGCCCGGAGGGTGCCGCGTGGATGAATGGCAAAGCCCTTTGTGAAGTTTCTGGCACCTGCATGCTCAATCAATGGCGAGGGGAGGAGGCGGCGGCAGCAGCAGCAGCAGCAACAACAGGAGCGGGCGCAGCGTCCGGCGGATGGTTTACATTCTTGGCATAGCTTCTCCCAACCGCAGGCCGGGGCCCGGGCCTCCTGCTCCTCCTCCTCCTCCATTGCCTCCTATCCTGTCAGCCGCAGCCGAGCTGCCAGCTCCAGCGAGGAGGAAGAGGAGGGCCCACCGCCTCAGCCTGGGGCGCAGAGTCCGGCCTACCACGGCGGCCTCTCCTCGGGCAGTGAAGAGGACCAGGACGGTGAGGGCGGTCACCGCTGGGGAGGGAGGCTGGGGCCCAGGCCTGGAAGCTTCCTCGTGGATAAGGACTGCAGGCCAGACAGTTATGGGTTAAATCTGGGCAGCATGGACTTGGCTGGGGGAGCCAGGAGCCCGGAGCCTCCAACATCTCCAAGAGCCCCTAGTGAGGAGGGACCCCGGGAATGGGGTACTGGCTCACCTCCCTGTGTACCAGGTCCCCAGGAGGGACTTCGGCCCTTGTCAGACACCGTGGGGGGAGCTTACCGCGTGGCAAAGGTGAGCTTTCCCGCCTATTTGGCCAGCCCATCAGGCTCCCGTGGAAGCAGCCGTTATTCCAGCACAGAGACCCTCAAGGATGAGGATCCTTGGGCCAGTCGGGGTTCTGGAGGCTGGGGTGTGTATCGCTCCCCTAGCTTTGGAGCTGGAGAAGGGCTCCTCCTAAGGCCCCAGGTTCGAACCCGCACCAAGGGACCTGTGGGCACCACGAGGGCATTGAGGGATGGAGGATCAGAGTTGGACAAGAGTGGGCAACGAAAATCCTTGTCAAATCCAGACATTGCCTCGGAAACACTGACGTTGCTTAGTTTCCTGCGTTCAGACCTTTCAGAGCTGAGGGTCCGAAAGCCTGGCGTGCGCCCTGGGGACCTTGAGAGTGGCCCCTTAGATGGCAGAGACTCACTATCAGCAGGTGGTCTGGTGGGGCAACTTGGGCCTGTGACCCCCTCAGCCCCAGCAGCACCTGGCACCCGCCCCACACTCAAGGACTTGACAGCCACCCTGCGAAGGGCAAAGTCCTTTACCTGCTCTGAGAAGCCCATGGCTCGCCGCCTACCCCGAACCAGTGCCCTGAAGCCCAGCTCCTCTGAGCTCCTGCTGGCAGGCCCAGGTGCCGAGGAGGACCCACTGCCCCTCGTTGTCCAGGATCAGTATGTGCAAGAGGCCCGTCAGGTTTTTGAGAAGATCCAGCGCATGGGTGCCCAGCAGGATGATGGAAGTGATGTCCCCACTGGAAGCCCTGACTGGGCAGGGGATATGACCCGAAGGCAACGATCCCAGGAGGAACTCTCTGGCCCTGAGTCCAGCCTGACAGATGAGGGCATTGGGGCAGACCCTGAGCCTCCTATTTCAGCCTTTTGCAACCTGGGTACTACAGGGGCGTGGCGACCCCTTAACTCATCCTCGGCCCAGACCAACCAATTCCCTGGGGCCGAAGATAGTCTGGGAGGGTGGTCCCTGGTGTCCCCTGATACCCCTCCCACACCAGGTGCCCTCCGCAGGAGACGAAAAGTCCCACCTTCAGGCCCTGGTGGGACTGAACTGAGCAATGGGGAGGCAGGTGAGGCCTACCGGTCTCTGAGTGACCCAATTCCACAGCGCCACCGGACTGCCACCTCTGAGGAGCCCTCTGGGTTCTCCGTAGATAGCAACCTCCTGGGCTCGCTGAGCCCCAAAATGGGGCTTCCAGCAGCCCCAACTGTGGATGAAGGCTTGACCAGCGGCCACAGTGACTGTTCTGTGGGTAGTGAAGAAAGCAAAGGATACCAGGAGGTCATTCAGAGCATTGTTCAGGGGCCTGGTGCCTTGGGGCGTGTGGTGGATGACAGGGTTGCTGGCAAAGCCCCCAAGAAGAAATCTCTGAGTGACCCCAGCCGTCGTGGAGAGCTGGCAGGGCCTGGATTCGAGGGCCCTGGAGGGGAGCCCATCCGAGAGGTCGAGCCCATGCTGCCTCCATCCAGCAGTGAGCCCATCCTTGCAGAGCAGCGGGCAGAAACAGAAGAGCCCATTCCTGCCAGGGGCCGGGCACAGTCTGAGAGGGCCCTACCTGAAGCCCTGCCTGCCTCCCCCAGTGCCCAACGTGATTTCCACCTTGACTCTAAACTAGCTGATGTTCTGTCCCCACGGCTCGTCCGCCGTGGTTCCAAGAAGCGCCCAGCCCGGAGCAGCCATCAGGAGCTACAGAGGGAGGAAGGCAATCAGGATCAGACTAACAGCCTGTCTCAGGCCCGATCCTCCTCCAAACATGTTCGTCATGCCAGTGTGCCTGCCACCTTCACGCCTATTGTGGTGCCTGAGCCACCGACTTCTGTTGGCCCCCCTGTGGCTGTGCCAGAGCCCATGGGCTTCCCTGCCAAAGCCCACCCCAAATTGCAGGCACCGTCACTCGAGGATGTCACTAAGCAGTACATGCTGACTCTCCACTCTGGTGAGGTGCCTGTGCCAGTGCCAGTGGATATGCCCTGCTTGACTCCAGTGGTTGTACCGCCCTCTACCGAGGCCAAGCCCCCCGAGACAGCCAGGGCTCCAGATGAGCCTGCCTCAGCAAGCAAGTGCTGCAGCAAGCCACAGGTGGTGAGTCTTTTGTGGGGGGGCCTTTGGGGTGGGGCTGAGGGAGGACTTTGGGCACTGACTTCCACAGGAGCCTTTTAAGAGTGCTCACTGGGCAGGTACCCAGGTCTGAAGGTGCTTATCTGGTCGTGGACGTGCCTAGGCAGTTTTAAGAGTATTGACACAGGGTACCACAGGGGTGTGGCGACCCCTTAACTCCTCTTCCTCGGCTCTATCTATTCAGGCCCCAGGGGCTTCAGGTTTCTGCTGATGCTAATGTCAAAGTTTCTTACCTGCTCCAAGGTGTTCTAGGAGATAATTATACAGGGTTCTAATCTCATCCTTTAGCTGTTTCTCAGGGACTGGTTTTAGAGATTACTATCTGGTTCTTTGTTTTAAATACACAAGGAGATGGGAGGGTGTTGGAACTTTCTGAAGGGCCTTGCCGCCCTATTGGCCAGAACTCTTGCATGATGTTTGGGCTTGGGGGCCCACAGTGGACATGAGTTTGCCCTTCCTCATGTGGCTTTCCTGTGGCAGATCAAAAAATGTGGGTCTGTCCCTGGGCAAATTGGAGAGGTACAAGGCAATGCTTTATAGAGTAGCACAGAGGGATCCATAAAATATATTGGTGGCCCTGGTCTTTTCTCTGTGATTCAGCCTCCCCATTGTAAAGTCAGGGGGGTTGTGGAAAAGGTGGTGCCTGTGTCTCCAGCTGGTGCTGTGCAAATTTGGCGGGGGGAGTGTGTGGGTTAGAGTTGGAGCACTCTTGGGTCCTGAGGTCTGCCAGAGCCTCTTCAGATTAGAATGGGGGCCTCTGGGGATGGGAGAGTCACAGAGGGGGCTACTGGAGCTCAGCAGACAGCAGCAGCCTTGTGAGGTTGGGAATAGTTCTGGCCCCTACAGTCAGGGTTGCCTCCGTGGGTCACGGTGGAGGCACTATCCCCCATGCTGCTGCTCACTTTCATCTCATCCCAACCCCTTCTTGCTGACTCTTGAGATGCTTCCTCCTTCCTCTGCCAGACCCCAGTCCCTGAAGACTCTCTTCCTACAGCCTCCACCTCTGCCTTCCGGCTTCAGCCATCCCTGGAGTTTTAGCTATAGGTTCAGATGGGTTCTAGGTGGCTTGATGCCCTGGTATCTGAGTTGGAAGCTAGATTCAAGGCTCTGGGTTCTGGGCCTAGTGCTGGGATGGCCCGTGTAATTTCAGTCATGGCCTGCACTGTGTTCCCTGACTGAGTGAGGAGCCTGGAAACCCTAAACCCTGGACTAATTTGGTCATTCCCGGTTCCCAGCCTCTCAAGCCCCCTTTGAATCCTCTCTCTTTGTTTTTCTCTCCTTGTCTCTAGTTCCCCATGGTCCTGGCTCTAGTGTCTCTCACAGAGACTGCAGAATCAGCAGGCAGGGAGTGGGCATAGGGGAGATT